GAACCAAGGATCATGGTCATTTGAGTCATAAACATGATAAGGGGTGTGATTGGTGCATACATTGCTTGAATTGCATTGCAATGCTCTGCCTTGCCCTCTGTTGCTGTCAATTGCAGATTCTGCAGGAACTTTCTGCCGACCGGCAGTGTTTAGTGCCGACCGGCAATCCTTCCTGGGCCGATAGCTTCATCAACAGCCGATGATTACACACCGTAGCCGGTGATGATTCTACTCAGCCGGTGATGTCTCCCAATGTCCAGGGAAGCAATTCTGAGACTTTGGCAGTCTTCCAAGAGGCAGAGCAGGGAAAACAGAGGTAGCCTATGCATGGCAGTGCACTTCCGAGCAAGAACCGAGCACACATTGCATTGGACCCTCTTCTCGAGGCTGATTTTATTGCTTAATTATCTTAGTTAATTTGTTTAGCTAATTAGATGGACTGTAATATTTAATTAGCTTGTAGGTTAATTATCTGTAACATTTATTTGATCCCTCCGGGCAAGAACGAATCTGTAATAAGTGTGGGTGAGTGTGTGCGTGTCTTCCAACCCCCACTTCTTTCTTCCTTTTACTTACCTGCTTATGATGGTTACTATTAGGACACGTTTACTTTAGCATACCTTATGCTATGTATGCGTGCATCATTCATCAGTATTGCATGCACCGGGCTCGGCGCATCATGCTAACTGCATTGGTATTTTAAATGTAACTTGAATACATGCTACTTGTGCATTTTCGTATGTCATTCATAGGTTAGCCGAGCCTACTCTAATTGCATCCTGTATGTGTTGCATTAGTCAATTTGACATGAACTAGGATCATGCATGTGATTACTAACTAGTTTATTGTTTTGGCACGGAGTACGATGTAAGTATTTTCATGCTTTAGCATATCGCATGCGTGTGAATGCTATCATGACAGCATGCTTACCATGTGGCTAGATGCTTATGTGATAAACTGTTCGAATGCCTGTGGGTGAAGGTTGGATTGTCTGAGTTGGAAAAACTCGTTGAAATCCGTATTTTAGCCTACTTGCGAGTAGCAAATTCCAAAGTGTTTTTCAAGACAAACGGATATGCAATGCTTATTTCCAAATTAGGCAATCTAGTCTATACTTGTTTGCCGTGCGCATAACATAGTAATTCTAGGCTAATAACCGGTTTAAGAGCACATAACGTTTTCAAAACAAAATATCACGGTTAGTAGAGGCCGGTCTTCGGACCGGGCGAGAGGGGGTGCTCATAGCTGACCTTCCCCAATCGTACCCAAGCTCCCGAGCCGAGGCAACTTTGGTGATGACGGACGCGTGGCCTTTGGCACCGAGTCAAGGTTTCCTAAATTCTCCCATAAAAATATTTAGGTGGCGACTCTGTATCTGGCAAAGCAGTCCATGTTTGGCACTCCTTTTTCTAAAAATTTGTTTTCTCAAAACAATTTGCCAGATTTGGACTCTTTGGTTCAGATTAAGAACCGCGACACAAATCGAGTCCGAACTGTAGCGAGGCCTCACGCGGGCGCGTCTACAACCAGGGACCACCTTGAGTCAATTAAAAATTATTTCATACTCTAAACTCACTTGGCGAATTATTTTAGATTATTAAATTTCATTCGTTTTGGATCTAATTGAATGTATTATGAAATTATTTTAGGTATGAATTTTTGATTATCTTCTACTGAGGTAGGAATTGAATGGCTTAGAAATTATCGAAAGAATTTAATACTAAATTCCCATAACAATGTTAAGAAAATCTCATAATTGAAGTTTTTTTTGTTTGTGTGTGTGTGTCTATAGTACTTTAATTGACTTTTGTCTGTCGCATCCTTCAAATTCATACCTTATATATTATGTGAGTCCTTTACACAAGTATCATCATTTTGTCCAGTATTATCTATTTTGAGTAAAGTGGCATTTTGATCATATTAATCATTTCCACCTATGAAGTACGAACTACTATTTGGAGGTCACGTATAGGTGGGTGGGAGTGGGGTACAAACCACTATTGGTGATTCACAATGAGAGGTTTAAAAACTGAAGCAAACTGAAATTCAATTCACTCAAAATAAATTTTGAAAAACAAACAGAGCACTCTTGCTCTTCTTTCTCCCACACTCTCATCTATATCTGATACACCACACACAACTATATATATAGATAAACTAGCAGTGTGAACATATTTATTGTAGATACAACTATCAGTGTAAATGCATTTAATGTGTATACGGCTATCAACCACTGCATTGAATGCAGCAACCAACGCATTGGATGCAGCCTCTAATCAAGATTACTTCACAACATCCCCCCTTAATCTTGATTCTCCATGTTGCTTCATCCCGAGCATTATCTTCATTCTGTTGAACATATCATTTTTCAATGGCTTCGTGAAAATATCTGCAAGCTGATCTTGAGATTTACAAGGAAATAATTCCACCTCTTTATTTTTCACATGCTCTCGGATGAAATGATAGCGGGTGTCAATATGCTTACTTCTTTCATGATATATTGGGTTCTTTGCCAATGCAATTGCTGAGCAATTATCAACATAGATCTCAGTGGGTGTTTCTTGTGGAAATCCCAAATGCTTCAGTATGTTCCGTAACCATATTGCATGGCACACAGCTGAGTTGACTGCAACATTCTCAGCTTCGCAAGTTGATAATGTCACAATGGCTTGCTTCTTGGACGACCATGTGAAGGCTGTATCTCCCATAAAGAAAGTAAATCCCGTAGTACTTTTCTGTTCATCCAAGTCAAGTCCCCAGTCGCTATCTGAGTAACGAACAAGACTGAAATTATCAGTTGGTTTATAGAATAAACCATCATCGACTGTACCTTTGATGTAGCGAAGAATCCTCTTTGCTGCATAAAGGTGTGACTGATCCGGTGTTTCCATATATCTGCTTATCAGTCCTATTCCATAGAGTATGTCTGGCCTGGTGCAAGTAAGATAGCGAAGACTTCCAACTAGGCTCTTGAAATAAGTTGGATCCACATCACTTGCCTTCGTACCTTTTTTGAGCTCCACTCCACTGTCTACAGGAGTATTCACTGGATTGCAATTCTCCATTCCATATCTCTTGAGAATTTCCTTGGCATAGCCACTTTGGGAAATAAAAATTTCATATTTTCTTTGTGCCACTTCAATGCCAAGAAAATGAGTCATCAATCCAATATCTGTCATTTCAAATTCTTGGACCATGCTTCTTTTAAAGTCTTTGAACATGGCTGGATTGTTTCCGGTGAATATTAGATCATCAACATAAAGACAAGCAAGCAACATGCTTCCATCAGCTTCCTTCTTCAAATATAGTGCGTGCTCATATGGACATTTTTCAAAACCATTGTTATGAAAATACTGATCAATTTTAGTATTCCATGCACATGGAGCTTGTTTCAATCCATAAAGTGCTTTCTTCAATTTGTACACTTTGTCTTCATGCCCATTCTGAACATACCCCGAAGGTTGTTCAATATAGATTTCTTCTTTAAGGAAACCATTAAGAAGTGCAGATTTCACATCGAGTTGATAAATCTGCCACTTATGCTGGGCAGCCAAAGAAATCATTAGCCTGATAGTCTCTAATCGGGCAACTGGTGCAAACACCTCTCCATAGTCAATTTTAGCTCTCTGCTTGTAACCTTTTGCTACTAACCTGGCCTTGTAGCGCTGTACTTCGCCTTGTGCATTCCTCTTTGTCTTGTATACCCATTTCACTCCAATGGGTTTGTGCCCCTCTGGTAGACTGGTAAGCTTCCATGTGTCATTTTTCTCAATGGCATGAATTTCTTTATCCATTACTTTCTTCCATTTATCTTCTTGGATGGCTTCTGAGAAGCTAAGTGGATCACTATCTGCGAGTAAGCAGAACAAATTCAGATATGCTTCTTCTGTAGCTTCATATATCTCACGCAAATTTCTCATTGGTCTTGGTTGTTTGAAAAAACTATCATCTGATGATGCTGATAATGATGCAGCATTTCTGTGAGAAACTGGCGATCTAGGTGTAGGTATTCTATGTGGAGGAGTTTGTGGCTCATCTTGAACTTCTCTTGTAATTTCAACCGGAGCTTTTGATGTTTCTTCTTCAAGCATGAGTTCTGTATCTTTAACAACTTCATCTTGATTCCAGTTACAAGCTTCTTCTTCTTCAAATATCACATCTCTACTCATGATCACCTTTGTGGTAATGAAATTATACAACTTGTATCCCATTGTTCTATCTCCATATCCGACAAGGATATATTTTTCTTCCTTATCATCGAGCTTGGTACTTCTTGCTTCTGGAATCTTGGTGTATGCAACACACCCAAATATTTTGAGATGGTTGACACTTGGGTTATGTGAACTCCAAGCTTCTTCTGGAGTCATAGAATGAAGGCTCCTGGTTGGACATCTGTTCAACAAATACACAACACATGATACGGCTTGAACCCAAAATTGCTTGGGCAGTCCCTTTCCTTTCAACATGCTCCTTGCCATATCTAAGATTGTGTGATTCTTCCTTTCAGCAACTCCATTCAGCTGTGGCGTATAGGATGGTGTTGTTTGATGCTTGATTCCATGCTCTTTGCAATAATTCTCGAAAGCATCTGATGTATATTCTCCACATTGATCTGATCGTAATGTCTTGATGTAGTAGTCGCTTTGCTTCTTTACAAAAGCTTTGAATTCTTTGAAGATACTGAACACCTCCGACTTTCTTTTAAGAAAATACACCCATGTCTTCCGGCTATAATCATCAATGAATGTGAGAAACTATCTATTCTGTCCATTTGACATTGGCTTCAATGGACCACACACATCAGTGTGCACTAGCTCCAGCGGCTTTGTTGCTCTCCACTTCACTTCTTTGGCAAAGCTAGTTCTGTGATGCTTGCCAAGAATATAACTTTCACAGACTTCATTAGTATGAGCAATATGAGGGAGCCCTTTCACCATATTCTTTCTTGACAACAGCTTCAAGCTTTTAAAGTTGAGATGTCCAAACCTCAAATGCCATAGCTAGTCTTTGTCTTTGATGATGGCACTTAAACACTTCACAGCATTATGTTGGATGTTCAATGCAAACATCCGATTTTTGGACATTCTCACCCAAGCGATCAAATTACCATGATTGTCTTTGATGGTAAGATGACAATATTTCATGCTGATGTCGTATCCTTTCTCTAGGAGTTGTCTCATACTTAAAATGTTGTTCTTCATGGCAGGAACATAATAAACATTGGAGATGTAATCATGATCTCCATTCTTGAGCTTGATCAGAATATTACCTCTTCCTTTCACTGGAGTCTTTGAAGAATCACCAAATGAGACTTGTGCTTGTACAGTCTCGTCAAGCTCAACGAACAACTCTCTTTTACCACACATGTGATTACTGGCTCCCGAATCTAGATACCAAACATTGTTTTGGTTTTCAGTGTCTCCATAGTGGACAAACAGGACTGTAGGTCCAACCTTGTTTGTTTCCTCCTCGGCAAAATTTGCTTGCTCTCCGGCTTCTGTTGTTGCTCTACTTTGGCATTCATTGCTGTAATGCCCGAACTTGTGGCACTGGTAGCACTGAACATTACTTTTGTCAAATCCTAGTCGGTTGTTGTAACTACCTTCTCTACCTCTTGCTCTTCCTCTTAGAGCAAAGTGTGGCTAACTTCTTCCTTGTCTGGCTGGACCTCTTCCACCTCTTCCTCGAAAACCAAAACTTCGGTTATTATAACCATGACCTCTTTCTCGACTTCTTTGTGATGTCCCCCCTTGCTCGTTTCTGTCATCTTTGAAAGATAGATTTGATTGAAGAGCTTGCTCTAGAGAACTTGAGGGAGTCTTCTTATTGATCCTTTGTTCATGAATCTCAAGTGTGCCCATCAGCTCATCGGTGGTCATGGAACTGAGATCCTTGGACTCTTCTATTGTTACAACCACATGCTCGAACTTGGGACTAAGTGATCGGAGAATCTTCTCTATCACTTGAAAAGATTATATCTTCTCTCCATAGCTTCTTATCTGATTAACAATGGTCAATGTTCTGTTAAAGTACTCAGAAATTGACTCATTCTCATTCATGTGCAGCATCTCGAATTCGCCACGTAACACTTGGAGTCAAACTATGATTGTCTTCTCAATTCCATGGCGTGAGTTGCGAAGAATACTCCATGCCTCTTTAGAGGTTGTTGCTGCTAAAATCTTCTCAAAACTTGACTCATCAATGCCTTGATAGAGTAGATACAAGGCCTTTTTATCTCTCTTCCTTAAATCTTTTAACGCCGTCTTCTGAGCATCATTTAAATTTTCTTCATCTGCGAGAGTAGCTGGCTCGTCATATCCTCGATCCACTAACTCCCACAAATCTTGTGAGGCTAGTAGGACTTGCATTTGAATACTCCAATTTTCATAGTTCTCCTTGTTGAGTTTTGGAAATTGGGGCTAAAAGAAGTTGTTTGTGTTGGCCATTAGTTGTCTTTAAAAACCTGCAAATTTTTAGTATGGAATTTACAAATTCTGACCGTACAGATGTGTTTAGAATACTCCAAATAGTTGGAAAGCACTATTGGATCACTAGAAACAGACTTCGAGTGGCTCAGATCAAGCCAAAATAAGTTGAACGGTTTAGATCTACGGCTGCACCTTAGCCGCGTCACACTGGATTAATTGTAATAACCCTCACCACTGATTACTGATTAAGCTACTGATTACTGCTAAACTGAGACTGATCGTGATAAGTAATTGAGCTGACTGAAAAACTGAACTGATTGATTGAATGTGCTAGTTTAAATGCATATATATCTGTTGATTGTTAAACTATCTGTTCATGTTTTATGCTTTAAACTGCAAATTGAAGGCCTTATTGGCGGCCGAATCTAAAATTGATTAGTGATATGTGTTAATCATAATTTATGTGATTTTATGGTGTACTTATCTGAAATGTGTTTTGGTATGATTTAATTGGATTAAATAAGGATAAATTGCAATAATTGGCTTAATTACCACTTTGCCACCTAGTGGCCCACCTCATACAAAACATATTGAGCTTCATTACATTCATACCAAACATTTCATCAGCCCTTTTCCTTGAGAGATAGCCGACCAAGAGTGAGAGAGAGTGAGAGAATTGAGTTCAACTTGATGGTTTGCTTGGAAATTGGAAGAATTGTTAGAGAATTTGCCAAATTGAGCCTCTAGACTTGTGATTGGAGACCTAAGGTAGAGATTCTATCCCTTGGTTTATGTATTTAAATTGTATCTTCATGAATCATGGAAATTTAGTGAGTTGAAGTCTAGAATTGATTCTATATGTTGAATTGAAGCTCATTTCATGCATGCATGCCTATATTGAGGAGTTTAAAGTTGTTTTCATGGAAAATGGTCACATGCATGTTCATATTTTTGCTAAGGGCCATGAATTTATCTTGTTTTGAAAAGAATTGGCTCAGTTGAGCTAGCATTTGAAGCTTTGAAGTGTTTAAATTCTTGCATGTTCCATATTAGTCTTGTTCATGAAAATTGGTTTGAAATTGAGTTTAATTGAACTACCTTTGGGCTTTTGATTTCTCAAATTGATCTTTGAAATATGTTATATTATGAGTTTTGAAGTGTTTTCCAGAAAATTAGCCCAAAAGGATCGAATTTAGTACATTAAAACTTGTTTTTGAGCTTGAGGTTCAAATATGGAAATTCCAGATTTTGGACTCACGCTCAAGCGGAGTGTCTGGCGCTCGAGCGTGAAATTCGTGCATCCAGCACTTTACACTATTTTACAGTTCGCTCGAGCGGGGTATTGGACGCTCGAGCGAAGACCTATTTCACACGCTCGAGCGGGTATCGAATGCCCAATTGAGCGTGATTTTCACACATCCAGTACTTTTTCAGTATGCTCGAGCGAGAAAGTTTACGCTCGAGCGGAGTCTTTTGTTTGCATGTCCGCTCGAGCGGGGAATCCCACGCTCGAGCGAGACCCCTGTTTTCTGAAAACTCTGAAAATGTTTTCCAAGTGCATCTTTGCATCGTCATTTCATTCTAGGCATTCTTAGGCCTAGTTTAAGGCATCTTAATGAGAATATTGATGTAGAACCACACCGAGTCAAGATAGGGATTAAGTTATTATTTTTCCAACTGTGTAGCTTAGTGTGTGTTCATTCTGCAACTGTGTAGGATTGGCTTTCGGAGACGCGCTCTAGCTTATTTGTAGCCCAGAACTCTGTGAGTAACAATGTTGTAAAGATATGTTCGAAAATGAATATTTTCTGAATGATCAATTGAACTGTTTTCTGAACTGTTTACTATTAACTGAATGAATGTTTGTCCTCTATTCTGAATTATACTATGGCATCCTTAGCAACTACCGTTATTGTTACTGTTACTGCTACTGTTACAGAGATCTCTGTTGGTTCCCAAGTTTGGAACCATTACTGATGGCCATCTTTGACTATTCGGTCTTTCAAAACCTATCGTTTACTGTACTGTTCTGCTAATATATGTATCGCATATGACTGTTATGACTGAATGACTGTTATACTGAATCAATTGACTGTTTTCAATACTGAAAGGACATTCATTCTTAACCTCTTTACGCATTATGTTATTCGCTGGGCTTTAGCTCACTGCTCATATATATATGTAGGTGTTCAGGCACCAGACCGGAGCTAGGAGCGTGGATTAGGCTCCCTTTTGTCAAAGCCAACCATTGTGCCTCACTGCGAGGTTCCGAGCCTGTCAAGCCAGGGCTTTGGGGATGTTTTAGTTTTCCCCCTTTTTGTATCTATTACGTAACTACTGTTTAGACTGAATGTTTTTGTACTGTACTGTTTAATAGGGATTAAGTCCCTGTCCTGAATGATTGTATACATTGTACATACTGTCTTGGTACTGATTGTATATATATATGAAAAGTCTTTTTGCATGCAGACTGTCACAGCTCATTGGACATTGTCTATTTACTGTTTTGGCTTTCGCCATGCCCCTGTACTCTGTATTACTGTTAAGCAGGCCTTCGGTAATCTCGGATTACTGGCCGGTTACGGTGCTAAACCCATAGGGGCGGGTTTGGGTCGTGACATTAATCCTCCGTGTGCTGATGTTAGCAGGTTGGTCAACGGCACAGTCAACACGGCTTGGTTAGCGGCCGACTCAGGCTCAGCTTAGTCAGCGGCTCAGGTCAATAGAGGCTCGGCTCGGTCAATGGCTCAGGTCAACAGATGCTCGGCTCGGTCAGCGGCTCTGGTCAACTGCTGTGTGGCTCAGCTTGGTCAAAGCTGGTTAGCAGCCCAGATGACGTCAGTGGATGACGTCAGGCTCTGGTGCGCGTGCGTGTGGCGTATGCTTGTGCGTTGGATGACGCGTCTTCTTCCTCTAGCAACGCGTGTGGCGCGTGGGCGCGTGAGAACGGCGTCAGGAGGCACATGAGGCGCGTGCGAGGTCGTCAGGTTTGCGTTTTCGACGCGGTTTTCACGGTTCTGCTCGTCTTGTCGGGAGCTTCAAGCTGATGTGATCAAAAATGGATTTCGACTACTTTGATTTCTGCGTAATTTTTGAAAACACACTCTGTTCTTGAAAATTTTGCAGAATGTCTGTAAATTCAAGCTACCTTCGGCCCTAATACCAGTGTTGGTGGGAGTGGGGTGCAAGCCACTGTTGGTGATTCACAATGAGAGGTTTAAAAACTGAACCAAATTGAAATTCAATTCACTCAAAATAAATTCTGAAAAACAAAAGAGCACTCTTGCTCTTCTTTCTCCCACACTCATATCTATATCTGATACACCACTGTAGACGTCCCCGAACGTCCAGGGAGGAAATCTCGTTTTGTTCATTGGGGCTCACTACAGTTCAGGACTCAATGTCACGGTCCTGTATCTAATCTCGCAGAGTGCAATGCAAGACCGATGAATCATCAAAGAGTCCAAATCCCGCAAATCGTTTTGAAAACAGATTTTTAGAAAGAAGTGCCAAACATGGACTGCTTTGCCAGATACAGAGTCACCACCTAAATATTTTATTTTTGAAGGAATTTAGGAAATCCTGACTCGTGCCTAAGGCCACATGTCTGTCATCACCAAAGTTGCTTGGACTAGGGAACTTGGGTACGATTGGGGAAGGTCAGCTATGAGCACCCCCGCTCGCCCGATCAAAGATCGGCCACTACTAAACATGATATCTTGTTTTTGAAAACACATGTGTTCTTATTCCGGTTAATTAGCTAGAATTACTATGTGATGCGCACAGCAAAACAAGTATAGACTAGATCGCCTAATTTGGAACAAAGCATTGCATATCCGTTTGTTCGGAAAAATGGTTTGAGTTTTGCTACTCACAAATAGGCTAAAATACGGATTTCAATGAATTGTCCCAATTCAAGCAATCCAACCTTCACCCACAAGCATTCAGGTAGTTGCATCACATACGCAAATAGCCTCATGGTAAGCATGCTGTCATGGCAACACTCACACACATGCAAGGATGCTAAAGCGTAAATGCTTGCCCAGTACTCCAAGCCAAAACAGAAACTAGTTAGTAATCAAATGCATGATCCTAGTTCATGTTAAGATGGCTAATGCAACTAGAAATAGGCTCGACTATTCTAAGATGTCATGTGAAATGCAACTTGATACATGTATTCAAATTGGAATTGAAATATAATGCAGTTAGCATGATGCACCGAGCCCAGTGCGTGCAATACAGATGAATGTGTGCAAACATACTGTAGACGTCCCCCGAACGCCCCGGGAGGGTTAGCTCCCGTTCTGTTCATTTGGGGTCACTACAGCTCGGACTCTTA